CGCGCTTAATGCGCATATCCTATATGAAAAGCATTTTAGGGGGCCCTTGACTTTTGGGGGCCCAAGGCGGTCGCCTACCTTTACCTAATGGTTAAGTCCGCCTCTGGTCGTGTCATGCAGTATGTTGTAACGGATGCACCAGAACTGCCACTGGTACAATTTATGATCAAAGACAAACTGTGGAGAAATTGTATTTGTTCACGATCTAATATCGCACCATGTGTTTGGGGTGTGTCAGACGGCGAAATATAACTACTGTGGACCATCCTTTTTTTGCACAGACCAAACAATCTGCCACTCACCATTATTTAACATTCATCTCATAAAAGTAACTGTACAATGTGTATTTTGGTCTCACAAAAGACTCCGGAGTGCACGCACATGTTTAACAGTGCTCATTCTATATCTAGTACAGTGCCAAATAAAAAAAATCAGAAACTTGTATGTTCAGGATATATGATAAAGAAAAGCTCTACTTAACAGTTACTTACCTTCACCGTGGATGAGAAGTCCTCTTCTGAGATCTGGTTTTCTAAAATGGCCACAACAAATTGCACGTTTCAAAGTTAATCCAGTTTGTCACGTGGTATCTGCTTGGGTCCTAAAAAATTGTGTTAATTTGACTTTTTTTTTTTATTATTATTGTTGACTTTACTCTAAATTACTTGTTTTTCTTTATTAATTAAAGTAAACCATAAACTCAGTATGTTATGTAACATTTGTAGCTTTAAATAAAGTAATGTGCAAAACTGAATTTAAGTAAAATCTGTTTATTTTAATGAGCCATATTTGCTGAGTGCAGGAATCATTTTTTGTATGTTATCATTACCAGTTGCTACAATGCTGGATTCAGTTTTTAAAGCTGTTTATTTGTACAGTAATCTAAATCAGTTAATCTCACTACTGGTAGGCGTTTGCATGACAATTGTAAACTGACATGTTAGCCTACACCGTGTCTATGGGAGTCATGGGAAGCGTGGAAATGGAAGTTGGACCGAGTGGGATCAGCAGTGTTTGGAAGAGTTATATTGAAGGAGAAGTGATGAAAGTGTGCATGCGAATGAAGGGGCACGATGTCCTCGTGTGCAGAGAGGAAGTGATGGGTCCAGATGCGCTGGGTCAGGTGTCATGACGGATCTGGACCCCGAGGACAGCTGGTGCCCGCTTGAGAAAGAGAGATACAGATCCACTGTCACTGCTGTGAGTCTGGAGTCACTGACATGACGGCCAGGACAAGCATCGTTTCAAGCACTTTCTGCTAGGCCTGAAGCATAGATCAATAGTTAGTCCTGCAGAAGACTTGTGTATGAATCTTAATTGCTGTCAGCTGCCTGATACTCTGAGCGTTTGAACAGTTCTCAGTAGAGAGATTTTTTTTTTTCAAACTGCAGGCGAAGACTCCCAGATCTTTAAACTCTCTTTTAAGTTCTGCCTGAGGACGAATGATGAACAATTTCCTATAGTTAAGTAGCAAGAAATGTTAGCACATTACCAAAGCAAACACTATCGGGTTTTCTTTTGCTTGAAGTGGAATTCATCTTCATACTGACTCTTTGTTTAGTGTGAAGTATTTAAAGAGAAAGTGAAACGAGATGGAGTTTGCACATGAATGATCTATTCACGCTGAAAGAAACAAATATGCGTTAAGTGGAGTGAAATGCAAATTCAGTGCAACACAAGCTATAAGAAGAGCTGTGTACAAGTGAAGCAAGTTAAACACTCGGTTCAGCACAACAAAACCAAACGAACGAAACAGACTTTGGCGTTTACATCACATAAGCAGCAAAGCATTGGTAAATAAATAAATTGAGTCCATAAAAAGTGTATTTTATAATTTAATTAATTATTTAATTATTGCAGCTTTGCATAAAAGTCAGAGTTTGAATATCCCAGTGTTTGAATATAGAATATTAATATAGAATCTGTTTTGCACGAGTGAGAGCAAAGAATGCTGTTGCTGCAGGATCTGCCTCTGTTTGCTGTCTTTACATATAATTACACTTCATAATTTATTTTTTAGTGCAATCCAAACAAGTTTAACCTGACCCTTACATTTTTTTTTTTACTTTACCCTTTTCATATTACAATCTGTAAGTACTAGGGTTTTTTTAATTGACCAGGTCAAATTGAAACGGTGGATACAGATTTTGTATTTTATTCTGTGAATTAATCAGCTTGAACGGTGTGTTCATCAGTCAGTGGTTTCTCGTGCACAGACACACGGTTGCAGCAGAAGTGAGAGGAGGTGGTGAAGCACAGCACAGGGAGAGCGGTGGACGCCTCTGACAGGATCCGCCATTGATTCTGACTCTTTAGCGCTGTAATTCTGTGTATTATAGCTTGTCTGTTAATGGCTCATAGAGCTGTCTAAAGAGATTCCGCTCTGTTCCCCCGTCAGTCAGGATCTCGTCTCATCCCTGAGGTCATGCTCAGATAGCAGGTTAAAGGGTTAGTTCACCCAAAAATGAAAATTAGCCCATAAATTGCTCACCCTCAAGTCATCCTAGGTGTATATGACTTTCTTCTTTCAGACGAATCCAGTCGGAGTTATATTAAAAATTTTCTTTGATCTTTCAAGCTGTTTAATGGCACTCAGCGGGTGTTGCAGTGCATCAGTCCAAAAGAAGTTAAATAAAAAGCGCCCATCCGTAAAAAAGGAAAAAGTGTCTCACACGGCTCCGGGGGGTGAACAAAGGTCTCCTGTAGCGAATCGATGTGTTTTTGTAAGAAAAATATCCATATTCAAAACGTAATAATCACTTTAATCTAGCTTGCGCTCACTGTTGTACACAGAAGCAGCTCCGGGAGGATGACGTATGAGGTCGGCATTCAGTTAGGCTAGTTTCTATCTATAGCTGGAAGAGGAGAAAAGAGAATGTAAGTTGGAGGCTAATGACAGTTTGTTGCAGAGATTTGGGCTAAAGATTTATTTTAACCTGCGGAGCCAGTTACACTCCAACAATGCAACTTCAACTTCAAGAGCACTTAATTTTCCTAGCACTGTTTATTTGTTAATAAATGGAGCTGTTAAAAAGTAATTCCGTGAAAAATATGAAGTCAGCAAAATAAATAGTGCTGTGGTTTTTGCATAATTGTAAGTAATTGCGTTGCTCCAGAGACACTGTACAAATGCAATGCAGAGAGAGGAGAAAACTGGTCCTGTTCACAAGTGTTCTCACCGTACCATAAAAGCATCAGCGCGTTCATAATTAGCCCTAAGTATTATTGACATGGCAGTAGAGTTAGCTGCTCATGGGTTCATCAGCAGAGAGTGTGTTTGATGCAGAGGGACGCTGATGTACGCGTGAGCCGGCGAAGACCTGTGGATTCAGAGAGGGTGGTTTTCTGTTGACGTGAATGATGGCTTGATTTGCATGCTAAAGCTGCAGCTGCCCCGCAAGATGGATGAGGCTGTCGCTTCAGCCCTCACTCCTTTCACAGTGCTCCTATTAAGATACAATGCAGATAGAGGCAAGACTATATCAAAATGATAAACATTTATATAGCTTGTGGTGAAGACAAACTCTCCTTGTGAGGTGATCTCCAAAAAAATAAAAAGTCTGTTTGTCCTGATAATTTGCTCAGTGGACAACAGCACAAAGAGATTAAATGTTTACTGGATTGAAACATTATCATTTTTCTGTTGTTTTCCTGTTTTCATCATTCAACACTGTAATTGTTAGTATTCATCTGTTTTGTGTTCACGGTTTACAATGAAACTAACTAGCATTCTCTGCTTGTGCATGTCCTACACATCTGAATGGTTTCGCTTTTTGTCTTAAAGAATTATTTTATGTCCTGTTGGTCAGCTGGTAGAGCATGGTGCCACATCTCAACATCCACTCAACAAGGTTCTCGTTAGTGTAGAGACAGTCAGTTAAGCCGAAACTGACAAACAGAAATGACAAACTTTACCCTGCCCAATGACTTTATGTGCATAATATGTTGCATAAAATGTAAATCACTGGCTCTGCACCCCTTTACCTAAATTCACTACTTCAGAATTATGTGTCCTCCAGAAGCTTGTGTTCTGCAAGTGAACGACGCATTATAGTGCATCCCAAAGAGACACAAAATCACTTTCACGGACTTTTACATTAAATGTTCCCTCCTGGTGGAATGACCTGCCCAACTCAGTCCAAGCAGCTGAGTTACTTAGCCATCTTCAAGAAAAGGCTAAAAACACATCTCTTCCAATCTACACTTGACCCTCTAACTCTAGCACTCTCTATTTTATTTCTATTCTATATTTTTGTTTTCTTTTTATTTATTATAAAGTAATGACCCTCTAACACTAGCATTTTCTATTTTTCTTCTATTCTATCTGCTTGTTTTTTCTTTTTGTTTATTATAAAAAAAGAACCTTGCTACATGCACTGCGTTAATCTAACCCGGGCTTGTCACAACACTTACATATTATTGCCCTTTTGTTGGTTTGATTACTTCTATTTTCCTCATTTGTAATCGCTTTGGATAAAAGCCTCTGCTAAATGTAAATGTAAATGTATATGACAAATGTATGAATGACTTTTAAATGGACAGCAAAGATGAAGCAGTTTTGAGTTATTGAGATGAATGGTTCATTCAGTGCCCTATTGCTAATGTGTGTTTATTGTGTTGCAGCACTTCTTACAACCAGACCACCAAAAGTCCTGTTCCCATCAGAGAGACAGGCCAGAGTCATAGACGTCCAACTCGGTGAGTCCTTCCTCACCATCACACAAATAAACAGAGAGAACAACATGCTCTTTTTTTCTTTTATAAAAGCGTCTTCATTGCTTTCTTTAATGGTACATCCTTCCAGGGGTGGTTATGTTTATCCTGCCTCGTGATGGAAAACGCTTTTTTTTTTAACTTTCCAACAAGTTTATATATCACATCAATTGCCTCCATCTAATTTACCCACAGTCACTTTGGCTTGTTTTTAAAAACTAAAAAATGAAAAATATGGCAAACGGTCAGCATATACTGTATGGGTGAATATGCTATACTTATAATGAAACTTCCATCAGCAATATGTAAGCATGGTCTCATAAATATCCAGCTGTTGCTGCAGGTTCATTGCCCTACATGTTTAGCAATGCTTAACAAATTGACAATTAGGAGAGGACGCCACACATGTGGGAATGTAATTATTGTGTAAGTGGAAATGTTCTCTGGTGCTGTAATATGCATTTTATTAATTTTAATGATTGCATATTTTCCATTTTCCTGTGAGATCTCTGCAGGCTGAACAGAAGCAGCAAACCAAGCAGTTTTGAAAGGAAGAAAATATTGCCAGCATTACGTTTGCATTTGTGTAAAAAATACTTTTTAAAGGAGTTTCAGTATATGTTTAATGAAAATATCTGTTTTAACACATTCACATCAGTGTTGTAACCAGTAACAAGCTACTACTAGTAGCAGTGAAGCACAACAAAATGCAACATACCTAACTATGTGACAGAATCTTGCCTTTTTCCCCTCAATTGTGTAAAACACAAAAAATGCCGACACACATTGAAACCGTGTAAGGTTACCATGTAGAAGAGCTAAATCTATGATAAAGCCAAAACATTCAACCAATGTTTAGTTCCAGAACATAGTGAGCTGTCTACCTAGACCGCATTTTAAGACATTATACCAGATTTACTCACAGCTTGTGCCAACACAAACCCTCTTTTGGCAGTATACTCTCAGGATTTACTAATTACTTATTTGCCCTGTTGAATAAATCTGGCCCGGAGAGTTCACTAGCAATGCACAGGCTTTTCCAAACAGTAGACAGCAGCTCATTCTGGCCCAAATCAGGTTCAGCATGCATGTGTCTTATGAACAATCCCTGACTGAACGGTGACACCAGAGGTGAGAAGGACACATCGGCGGGACACAATGGCATGGGGCACTCGTACCAAACCCTCTTTGAAACCTTAAATGACAAATGGGACACCCTATGGCAGGAGGTCCAGTCCAGCAGATCTGAGCTCCAGCTCCAGTCAAACACACCTGAAGCAGCTGATGGAGGAGTTCAGGATCACTGCAGACGTCTGCCCTGCCCTACGGTTTCATTTACTTCTATTATGGCATAATGTCATTTTAGAATTGAAATTTCAGTTTGCTTTTCCAATCAGATTTCTCTAAAGAACTGTAATAAACTCTTAGCGGTTGAGACGGCAAAAGCAGAGTCTCGTGGTGGTGTCCCGTGAGGAGCAGACACAGATAAAGCAAAGGAAATGACTGAAATCACCCAGCAGGAAATCATCCTCTAATCTGGGATCTGTACTGTAATGATGCGAACGAAAGCACAGCATAACACTAACCTTTGATTTCAGCTCAGCAGCATTTGAACTGTTAATGTACTCTTCTGACACAATCAGTCCAGCGCATATATAACACATTTCTCTGTTCCTGTCAAACTCCCCCTCTTTCTTTTCAAAGTATTTACTCCTGTCTGGATGCATTTGTAATGCTCCTCGTCCAACCTCGTGCTGTTGTCAGGAGCAAAATAGCTGGAGATTTCTCATTTTTAATCTGTCAGCTCCCTCTAAATTATAACTCATTATTCTGTGCGCTGACAGCACAGGAAATGGACTTTGAGTCCTTGAAATGTCAACTAACTCTCAATAAACGAACTGTATGCCAGATGACTCCTTTAAGCACTAGAGATCTGCAGGCACTCCACAAGAAGTCCATTTGCTGGCGGTGCAATTAAAGCATCAGTCAGAAGTGTCTGTTACACAATGAAATTCTCTTTAAATTACATTGACATTTACAGAAGTAAGCCAACATCTGCTTCACAGAGTCAGAGCACAGTAGATGATGGTCAGGTTCTCAGACATGAGTTTATGTACAGAAGACCTGGATTAATGACTGCATTTGGTAAAATGAGCACAAATCACAATCCACTCAGTTTTACCACAGAGTCAGTGACTCGGTATTTGATCAGATTGCCAAATGTCAAGACATTTTTTCACAAAATCAAATAAAAAAAAAGCAAAGTGCAAAGTAAAGCCCTTTACGTGAAATAAGGACAAATGTTTATCATTGTAAAGCTGTCCAGTAGGACATTGAAAGCCAGCTGTACGTCCAGCCTTGTTCTTTGAGAAGTCGTTCTCTTCGGCTGAAGTCAGTGCTGCTCTCTCTCTCTCACGCTGCCAGCTGCTCAGATTGGGCGGTTAGACAGTGATGCTCACCTCCAGGGTCACGGGTCGGCCCTGCGTGACAGCAGCCGTCCAGAGCTCAACATCACCCGTGTTCATAGCCCAGGTGTACTGACTGACTCCCTAAACCACACAACATGCTCAAAACTTCTGATAGTTTGAAGGTGAATTGTGCATTTTTTGCAGCGAACAAAAATAACTCAATTGTTAGCTTTTCTATGGATAACGTAAGTGCTGAACTCGACGGTACAATGCTACAGTGTTTCTGGTGCTGTCAGGGAGTTGCTAAAGAGTTCGGAGGCTGTTTTGTGTGCGTTTTGTTGCTACTGTAGGTTGTTTGCTAGGGTGTTGTTTCTGTACTGCTCTGCTCTCGACATAGACATACTCCCTCCTAGATATGATTTGAAATATCATTCATACCAGCATGAACAAAGGGTTAAAGGAATAGTTCACCCAAAAATGAAAATGTCCTCACTCTCAGGCCGTCTGTCGCAATAGCTGACCACAAACACGATGATGAAGGTGAAAGGCAATCTTTAATAAATCCACAGGCAGAAAATCCACAGCTGTAACATCTCCTTGACAAAGATGAGACCTGACACCAGTGAACAGAAACGGGGTAACTTAAGTATCCAAACAATGAGGATAATTAACGACACACACCTGAACTAAATGATGAAATCAATTCAATAACCATGATGACAACCAACACAAGAGGGAAAATGTGCAAACTGAAACAAAGTCCAAACTAAGTGAGAGTGTGACAGTACGCTCATTTATACTTTCGCCTGGCTCCGCTCCACGAGCCTCCGCAGACTACACACGCACAACCCCAAATTCTGGAGGCTTTTATACTCGACGCGCTCGACGTTGTGATATTATTTGAAACGACAGGGGGCGCACAAGCGAAATCATCTTCGGAAGTAGCAGGAAAGAACAGAGAAGTAGGAGTTTCCCGGAATTACGTCATACAGAATGCAATGTTTTTATGCCACAACATATGTGAAATAAGTAATATTGAAACACTCGCACGAGCAATTATGAGATTTTTTTTTATTTATTCAGAAAACAACACAATACACTTTCTGTAACATTAAAATTTGCTTTTGGGTTAAAGGTCCTTGCACACTGAGTCCAAATTTTCGTATGCATTTTTTCGTATTCGTCATCCTAAAAATTTGTCACGCACAGAAACCTTGCACACTGAGTCTGATGCATATTAATTAATCTGTTGCGAAAAAATTAGCAAAACAATACAAAATGGAGTCTTTAAGCAGTGAGGATGATTTTGCTGTCTTCTCTCTTCTTAAAAAGAGAAAAAGAAAGAGGAAATTTTGGATCCATCATCCAATCCAAGGAGAGCTCATCAGGGAGCTGTGGGATTATCACGGGCAATTCAGAGTTCACTTCAGGATGTCAGTGGCTCAGTTTGATGCTTTGCTAGCTATAGGAGCCATATATTAAAAAGAAGACCACCAATTTCCATGAACTCAATGTGCAAGAGTTCTGTATAGTGCTTTGTGCAGTGAGAAGAAGTGGATCAGCTTGTCAGATGCCATTCTGAATTTTGGAGTTCGCTTGTACGGTGGCTCTAAATAGTCAAAACACCTCTCAAAATGCTTGCTACGTATGCGAAAAACGCCGATCTGATTTTTTTATGACAGACGAAAGTTTCTGAGGCAGTGTGTAAACGGGGTTGACACAACGTGAGAGTATTTATTTTTTAACGTGTGGAAATTTTGGACGAAAATTTTGGACTGCAAGGGCCTTAACAGTATAAAAATCTGACTATCTCTATGATCACACATAGACGGATCATAAAGATGCCTGTACAGGCGTACCTGTTCAACCAAAACAGCTTCAAAATTGTTCATGTGGCGCCGCACAAACAGTTCGCTGGAGATGCTGTGCACACCGCCAAGTGAAATAAAGTTGCGCTCATTCAACTTGCGGACGCGTCGAGTATAAATCAGGCTTTAGGAGGACAAAGAACTGGTAGAGGGCCAAACAAAAAGGTCCAGGGTGGTGCAGAAGGTGGAGTGATCCAATGGGTGACCTGGAAAAAGAAAGGGTAGATGGTTTCCCAGTGCACAGCCAGGGCTGCACTCCACGGTGGCGTCGCTGGAGGGAGGAGCCATGGAGGAAGACGACACCATGGAGACGATCGAAGACGATGGTGACACTAGAGATGGAGCCCACCAGGTAGCCAGAGAGCTGATGAAGCGGAGAGAGACCAAAGACCTTGGCGGCCACAACCCAGCTGCAGCGAAGTCCGACCTAGGTGGAGGCGATGTACCGAGAGAGCCTGGCGAGGCTGAATGCCCGATGGTCACTGCTGGAGTTGAGGGAGGAAGGAGCGCAGGCGCGGGAGCCAGGGTGATGGGTTGAGGTGGAACAACATGCTCCTCACGTCCAGGAGGAGATGGCTCCCAGCAGTCCCAAGGTGGTGAATCCACGGCACCAGAGGAGGCTGAGATTTCATTTGGGCTTAATTAAGGGACACAGAGAATTCATCTCTCCTCACACACTCAAACTGTCCATTAAGTCCATCCAGCACTCGCTTCCGTCCCCTTGTACTCCATGAGGACTCCCATGGATGGTACAGCTGGCTTGCACACCTGGTCAAACGGGTTCCCCTCAGATGTGATGTGATGTCAGGCATGATCGCTATTCCTGGCATGGGCTCTAATATCATGGCTAAGGTGCTGTCTCCATTTGCGGTGGGTTCATACTGTCTCTCCTCACAGTGGGACTGGCATCGTCATCGACAGGTCCGACGGTGAGGGGCGATCCACAGGACGCCAGCACCCACTCCACAAATTCAGCGAAGCTCCCCGAGGGCCTTCCCCGGACAACTGCGCCTTGGTGGTGGTGTTCAGGCCGGCATGCAGAAATGAGCAGAGGCAGTCATCCGGGAAGCTAGATAGATTCACCAGAAAGAGGAAATCCTCTACATGTTCCTCAAGGGAACAATTCCCTTGTTCAAGGCTGATTAACAAAAAAGAAGGATTGTCAATAGTGGAAAAAAAAAGAAAAAAGCCTCATTCATCATAATGTAATTACTTCTGGGTCGTGTCTTCTGTCACAAGAGCTGTGTTGCAACATGCACACAAACATGAACACGATGAAGGTGAAAGGCAATCTTTAATAAATCCACAGGCAGGAAATCCACATAGAGAAAACGGCTACAACACCTCTAGACACAGACAAAACCTGACACCAGTGAACAGAAACGGGGTAACTTAAGTATTCAAACAAATGAGGATAATTAACGACACACGCCTGAACTAAAGGACGAAATCAAATCAATAACCATGACAACCAACACAACAGGGAAAATGTGCAAACTGAAACAAAGTCCAAACTAAGTGAGAGTGTGACACCGTCTAAGATTAGGATGAGTTTGTTTCTTCATCAGGTTTGTAGAAATGCAACATTGCATCAGTGTCTCAGCAATGGATGCTCTGCAGTGAATGGGTGCCGTCAGAATGAGAGTCCAAACAGCTGATAAAAACATCACAATAATCCACAAGTAATCCACACTACTCCAGTCCATCAGTTAAAATCTGGAGAACCAAAAAGCTGCATGTTTGTAAGAAACCAATCCATTGAGAGATTTTTAACTTCAAACCCTTGTTCCCGGCTAAACTGCGAGTCCATAATCCATATAAAGCTGGAATCTCATTCTGACGGCACCCATTCACTGCAGAGCATCCATTGCTGAGACACTGATGCAATGCTACATTTCTCCAAATCTGATGAAGAAACAAACTCATCCTAATCTTGGATGGCATGAGGGTGAGTAAATTTTCAGCTAATTTTCATTTTTGGGTTAAATATTATTTTAAGGACAAATCCCTAAGCCAATTCAGTACAAATACTGAATGTCTCAAAGCAAGTTTCTCCAACACTCCTCCTGTTTGCCATCTGTCAGACACTAATGATGTCAAACAGATACACTTACTTCAAACTCAGGCTATTGCTTAGAACCTGAACTGTCAAACCATTCAAACAAAGAACCATTTATTAACAAAAAAAGAGGAAAATTCTTGATTATTTCACAGCTGCATTGTTTATGACAGATAATGAACAGAAGACCTGTAACAGCACCTTCTGTAAAGTAAGAAATTGCACACTGTGTTTCATATTTGTTCACTTACATTTTGGTTGATGCTGTTTTTCTCATGCACTATGGGCCCAAAATGTTACAACTGAAGACAAAATAATAAAAATATTTGAGTGATTCTGTCACAATATGGTTGTAGGAAGATGACGATTCAATGAAGAAGATTGAAATTCAAAAAGAGTCTTTAATAATATCCACAAGTAGATCCAAACACACAAGGCAAGCAAACACAACCATGACATAGACTACACCAGACAAAGACCAAAGAGAACTGAAGGCTTATATACACACTAAGGAACTAATGAGATAATTAACAGGTGAACAAAATGTAGTCAAACACAGAGAAACTAGGTCAAACTGCAAACAAGGAAGACAGAACCAAAACACAAGACCAAAACTGAACATAACCCTGACACTACAGTCTCACAGTCTATTTAAAAATCTATTTGAAGACTAGAAATGTGTCATAGATGTTTAGATTAAATGCAGAGTTGACCCTGATCATCCAGGAAGAATTATGTATTTTATGCATGAGAAATCATCTGCATGTCTTCAGTGCTGAATACGATGTAGCTCAGTCTACAGTGAGCCTCCGACGCTCTGGATCTGATTCCTGGAACAATGGATAAAGTATTCAGCACTAAACATCGTGGCCGGCCACAGCCTCGTTCATTTGCATCTCCTGACGTTTTCTCTCTCTTAAAAGCTGTAATTGCAGGCAGAGGAAGCTCTTCACTGCTGTGCTGCGAATGCTGCTGAAAGCCCTGAAGGGTTTTTACACATTATCTGCATAGAATCAGCATATGTGAGAATAGTGGATCAGTGCAGTAAACAAAGCAGTATTATTCAGCAGGTAATGGGAGCGAGTTTACCGAATCACTCCTCTCTATGCAGTCAGCACCCAGGTAATTAAAAGCAGAGCATGAGCATGTTCACACTGCTGGTCTCATGAACTGTGTGCTAAGACTGATCGTCTGAAGGATTCAGAGCATTAAACACTCGTGTCCGTGTCCAGATCTCTTCATTTAGAGATGACAATGAAGCAGCGTTTCTTTCAGCTGATAGCTTGTGTCAGGTGAGGATTTGAGCACTACTACATCTTGCACCGTCGTCCTGAGAGCTCCAGTGTGAGTGTGGTTTGAGTGGATGTGGGTGAGAGCATTCGTTACTTCTGATAACCATTAACAGCTTCTTTACTACTGGTTTAAAAACTGTGCATCAGTTAGGTATGGGTAACAAGTGGTTAACAAAGGACAGAAATACATTATCTAATGCTTTACATAATTTAACTAGCATGACAATGAATGAAGAACTCACTATTTGTACATGGCCTTTTAATGTATTAACAAGGTAGAGACCTCAATTTGTAAACTATGAATTAACTATAAACCAATAGTTTACAAATGATTTATAAGTACTTTTATTTTTGATAACCGTATCGATCGATGCTGTAGTGCTGGTCTGTGAGGATGACAGTGTCCTGTTCTCTGTGCCTCACAATGTGAGTCTGTGAGTGCCTTTGATTGCTTTTAAAGGAAAGTCTTGGCCTGATTTGAGCGCAGCAGTGCATTAGTCCTGTCAGAGCAGCGTTTATATGTGTTTACTGCGTTTCTCTCTGATATTCTTCCCTGGAAACACACTTTAAAGTGTCGATTTGTGTGTTGTGTAGAAGGCTTTTGTTTATCCAGGTCATGGGAGGATTTCTGCTCATGTGTATGAGTGAAGAAAGGAGTATTATTTCTGTGATTTTTCGTGCAGGAGCAGATTTGTCTGTTTAATGCTGATTAATGCTCTTTTGTGTTTGTGTTTGGCAGGCATGCATCTGGTCTTAGACTGCAGGGCTTTCTTCGGCTACAGCGGGGATTCCAGGCCCATCATCTACTGGATGAAGGGAGACAAGTTCGTGGAGGAGCTGGAAGGACACATACGAGAGAGTGAAGTCAGGTACTGTTAGAACCTGATCCTGCTTAACATTAACCTGACCGTGCATGACCTCACTGTGCTGAAGCTGAAGAACGGCCCGGGATTATATAACAGACACTAACAGCCTGCAGGAGAGCGTCTGTGATGATCACTGACACACAGAGACCTCTAGTGGACAAAACATGTGCTCG